ACCGTTTGAATAGCGTGACAATGCTTGGGGTCTAGACGCGCTTCTTCGAGCACAACCCTAGAGTTCAGAGAGTCCCATGAGCGAACGAGATCAGAGTAGTACGATTACCCAGCTCAGACGCACCTGCATAGAGACATCACCGGAACGCTCACGTCTGCGGCATTCTCAGGAAATGCAGACATTTGCAACTTGTCGTACGCTTCAACCATGGCGTCGAACAGGCCAAAGAATGCTTGGATGTCCAATAAGCTACCCAATAACCGGGGGATTGCAAGGCATGACCCAAACGCAGCGTGAATAGCGGATCTGAGGCCGGCGGCAACATAGAGTGTGCCTGGATTACGCAAGGTTTGCGCAAGGCGTCCTAGGTAGAGTTCCACGCCGACTTCTGGTAATATGTATTCTTCCATCGCCCGGCCGATCGTTTCCGCAGAAGGTAGTTGCTCGTCTATGTCCTGTTTGCCTCCCAGCGCGCGGCACAGAAGAAGGGAAGATAAGTATGCGCGCTCATGGTCCTCACAGAGATCTCCGCCCTCCCTGCAGTCTTCGCAATCGCTTTCTGCCTGATAATCCAGACGGGGGTTAGAAATCCAAAATATGGCAAATGCCCGTTCAGCACTGGGAAGCACGCTCTCTGACTCCAATACAGCACGGCTGTACGCGCTCACATGTCAGACAGGACGCTTTTGGACCGGTAAAAAGATGGCGTGCTCACCGATGCACTAGTGTAGACACGAGCGACTCCAGAGCCTCATAGATCCCCTCCATCATCTGACCATAAGCGTTTCGAAGCTTGTCCAACTGCCAGCGCTGGCTCCATATACCATCGAGGATGACTCTCGCCAACTTCCTCTGCTCGGAGCTGGCACGGAGCCAGAGAGTAAGAGGTTGAAAGATATTCTCCGCAAGCTGAAGGGTACTGATCACAAAGGCCTAAATGTATGCCACCGTCATCAGATATTTGCATGTTAGAGACGATGAATACGAACTAACCGGATGTTCTTCATAGAAGTCGGGCTGCGACAACGCATCTTCACAAAACGCGAGAACCCCGTACAGCTCGAGAAATTCAGCGACAGTGCCGTGACGTCCGTCGCACGCATATACACTCGTCAGTCCACAAATAGTATCGTTGAAAGCTTGAAGATCTTCGTTGGGACTATATCGCCTGCGCATCTGGAATAGCTCGCGCCAGCGGGCCGACACACCATCGGGGTCCAAGACGAAAAGGGCGCAGAGCATGGGATCGGAGAGACAGTGTGAGCACTCGCAGACGGATGATGAACCATCTGTGCCACTCCAAGTGCCGATAGAGGCGGTCTCGTCGGCGTTGTCATCCTCATCAAGAAGCATGAGAGTCTCGCGGATAAGTAAGGCTGGTGGCATAAGGTCAAGTTGTACAAGACAAGATTGAGGGACGTGTCCTTTATATGCGTCCGAAGTCTTTTCATCTCGTTTC